CAAGTGTTCATGAGATGGATTGCCTTAAGGAAGAAACTGTTCCTGTGTCTGGTCGTTCTGGTGCTCAGTGCTCTGTAGCGTCGACCAGATGGCAACAGTTCAAAGAGGGAGTGTGCTGGATGTGAGGGGTCCAGAGTGATTCTGCCAGCCCTTTTGCTCACTCTGGATAAGTACAGTTCTTGGAGAGAAGGGAGGGTTGTACCAATGATTCGCTCAGCAGTCCGGACTACCCTCTGTAGTCTTCTGAGGTCAGATTTGGTAGCTGAGCTGAACCAGATTTGAATTTGAAGAAAGTAGTTCCGCAAACGAAATGGTTGAAAGACATTCTGGTTGTTTCTTATTTATTTCCATACTTGTGATATTGAACAGTTGTGTTAACACAATATCACACTTGTAGCCATGTGATATCACTCTGTATCAGCATGGCTCTGACAGGGAAGGATTATGATGCAGTGGGCATGAACCAGCACCCTCTACCTTTGGGGAACCTTAAGACAAATCTAAAGGCTGAAGGCTGTAGGTTGTGCGTAGCACGCATAGCCTACGGCGCAGACTGACGTGCACCTCTCCAGAAATGTAACGCTTCAATTCTACGCAGACCACAAGCACTGTGATTGGTCTGCTACAACCCCCCACAAACCCTGCCTTTCAGGTCAAAAAAATAAATAAATCTGCGATAGCACCCCATTTCCTCATACGCATGTCTGCTTGTGACATAACAACAGTGAAAGCAAAGATTGACCAAGTTGAGGAGTGACTGTCCGAAAATATGTCCATCTGTACGACACCTCTTTATTAAACTACAAAGACTCCTAGATGGCAAATAATTTGTGCTAATCTAAGGTTAGAAAAGTCGGAGTGCTTGAAAAGAACAAATTTGTTCGCCTTCGTAAAAAGTGAACAGTTTGAGGAGCGGCGACCCAGGCGACAAAAAAGTTCCTGCACTTTTTGTGTTTCTTTCTTGGCTAGCTCCCCAGGTGAAACACAGAGAAATGAAGTCAAATTATGACAAAAAATAGGTAAATATTGTCATGACTTCGGTCTGATCAGCAGGTTGTTGTTGTTTTGTCTGTTTTGACAGTTCACCATGTGCTCATTGTCTTTGTGGTTTCATAGTTCCTGCCCTGGAGTTACCAGAACTGCGCTTTGCGGCCTCTTCTCTCCTGCCCCTCTCGGTGCACTCTACAAGGAACTCTCTGCCCTGACGTTGTGTCGGTACCGACGCTTGGACTCAAGGGAGGTTGACCTACTGACAGCCCAGGTAGCTGAACTCAATATCCGGGTGCAAGAACTCCAGTAGGAGGCCCTGGCCAGCCGATCCGCTGCCTCTGTTATCCGTCTTCCACCTCAGGCTGAGCCAGAACCCCATGCCAACAGTCCTCCTCCCTACGACGGAGACCCAAATTCGTGCCGGGCCTTCCTGTCCCAGTGCTCCTTGGTCTTTGCACTCCAGCCCCGCCGTTACGTCAGGAGCGACTGACTCGAGGTCTCTGCCTATATTGTGGGAGGCCTGGACACCGAGCCATCCGGTGTCCTTTAAAAGCCGGGGCCCATCAGTAAGCCGGGGGATCCTGATGGGCGCTTCTCCATGTCTCGAGTCCCCCAAGTCTCCTACCCTGCTCCCTGTCTCTGTTCAGCATGAGGACACCATTCACTCTTGCCCAGCTCTCATTGATTCAGGAGCTGAGGGCAATTTCTTGGATGTTTCTGTTGCATCGAGCAGCGGGTGGGGAGGGCCGTGCGGGCGGGGGAGGTCCCGAGGGGGTGTCCGGAGGGTCGGTTGTTTGTGCCGGCTGCGCTGCGTCCTGAGGTCCTCCGGTGGGGTCACGAATCCAGAGTAGCCTGTCATCCAGGGGTTCGGAGATCGCTAGCCGCCATCCGTCAGCGATTTTGGTGGCCATCCATGGTCCATGATGTCAGGCAGTTTGTGTTGGCTTGTTCGGTGTGTGTTCAGAATAAGACTTCTAACCAGTCTCCTGTTGGTCTGTTGCAACCTTTGCCCATTCCCTCTCGTCCTTGGTCACACCTGGCCCTTGATTTTGTCTCTGGCCTTCCCCCATCGAGAGGCTACACCGTGATTCTGACGCCCGGGCCACGTCCTTACCTCCTCACCGGCCGTACGACTGTGCCATCAATCTCCTCCCAGGCTCTTCTCCGCCTAAAGGGCGTTTGTACTCCCTGTCTGGTCCTGAAAGAGAGGCCATGGACAAGTATATTAAAGAATCCTTAAATGCCGGCCTCATCCGTCCCTCTTCCTCACCTGCTGGCGCTGGGTTCTTCTTCGTTAAGAAGGATGGCTCCCTGCGTCCTTGTATTGATTATCGAGGTCTAAATGACATCACCATAAGAAACAGGTATCCTCTGCCTCTGATGTCATCTGCTTTTGAATTGTTACAGGGAGCCAAGGTCTTTACTAAATTAGACCTCCGCAATGCCTACCATTTGGTCCGTATCCGTGAGGGGGATGATTGGAAGATAGCCTTCAATACCCCTACGGGACACTTCGAATACCGGGTCTTACCCTTCGGGCTTACCAACGCCCCAGCTGTCTTCCAGGCCCTGATCAATGATGTGTTGAGAGACCAACCAGGATCTCGAGAGAGCTCT